AAAGAGAGTATAGGTAGCTGGGGCATGAAACAATTCCTAAAGGAATGGAATATGTCCCCAGGATGCAGACAATCGAAGGAGTTTCTGAAGGAAATCAAACCTAAAGAATCGAAATGGCTATTCTCTAACTCTAGGAGGGGAATAAGGAGGCTGATAGGTATCCTAACGGGCCATTGCCCCTTGAGAAGACACCTCTTCATAATGGGTACTCTACCAGACCCCTTCTGCCGCTTCTGCGAAACAAAAGAAGAAACGGCCCGACACTACCTCGCAGAATGCGATAGGTATGCTAGGGAAAGATTTAATACTTTCGAAGGAGAGGACATAACCAAAACACTCCCCAGGATAAAATGGTCCACAATCCTGGGGTTTGTGAATAGGTCCAAAAGGTTTATGCAGGACTCGTGAGCCGACCAGGTCCCGGACCTTTTAGGGATGGGGTACGGGCCTACTCAGGCTTTTAACCCCTCGGGTCCTGGTCGCCCGCCCTGTGTAATATATAACTAGGCTGATCACAGGCGCTTTCCGGAGCAGTCCCTCGTTCAGCCTTCATGCAGATGCAAGAGAAATGCCTTTAAGTTTCAGACTTTCTTGATTTGAAGTTTTTTTGCTAAAATCACTTCCTCTAAGTCACATCCACTAAATCGTCTATTTCCAGGGGGTAGTTTGATATTTGACAACTCATCCCGTGATTCTATACGAAAAACCTTCCCGTTCCGTATATACACATTATTGCACAAATTACAAATACCCATACCTCCAGTACAAAAAGAATCAGTGGCTCCCATCCCTCCTTGGACATTTCCTAAACCGAAAATTTTGTATTCACTTTTTTTTTTTCGCAAAATTTCGCAAAGCCCGTACACCTTTTCATGTATACCAGCAGGAGTTTTTGAAAATAAAAAACGCACTCCCACAAGCGACATTTATCTATACGGACGGATCAAGGAGCTCCAGGGCGTGGGAGCTGCGTCTATATGTGGCCCTAACAAATTTCTTTTCTCTCTACATCATTTCTGTAGCAACTATAGCGCTGAGCTACTAGCAATACGGAAACCTCTAAATTTTATATGTTCTGATAACAATAGTAGCTATGTGATTTTCTCTGATTCAGAATCGGCCTTACATGCCTTGGAACACTCCTATTCAGATGATCCTGGTGTGCAGGAGGTGCTGGCGTCACTGGAGAGCCTCCAACTGCAGGGAAAGAGTATTTACTTCCTCTGGGTTCCTGGACATGTAAATATTAAAGGAAACCATTTGGCAGATGAAGCTGCAAAAGAAGCAGCCATTACAGGCCTTCAAATCAGGAACGTTCCAAAGGGTGATATGACTGTAGTTTACAAGTCAAAAATTAAGGGTCAATGGGAACAGGCCTGGACTAACATATCTGAAAACAAACTACGGGAAATAAAGAACTCTGTAGATGCATGGCCTACTTCATTCAGAAATAGTAGAAGGGAAGAAGTGGTTCTTGCACGGTTGAGGATTGGACACTGTAGAGCCACTAAGGATCATTTGATGGGGCGAGAGGCACCTCCAATTTGCGGAATATGCAATCAAATCGCCACAATCAAACATATACTTACGTCATGCTCATTATATTCAGCCCATAGACGTCTACACTCCTTGCCTACAAGCATCCAAGAAACGCTAGACGACAACAATGATAATATACGTAATTTGTTTGATTTTCTCAAATCAGCAAATCTACTCGACAAAATATGAGCACACATTGTTTGTCCTTCTCTATATATACAAGATCAAATATATAAAGATAAATTAAATAAAATAAATAAAGATAATAAGATAATAATAATTAGATATGACAATAATAAAGATAATAAATAATAATAATAGATATAGAATAAAGATAAATAAATATAGATAGACAAATATACTAGGTCGACCGTCCACGTGGGTAGCTTTAATCTGTATGCCTCTTTCTACCTATTATATAATGAGTTAGTCAATGGGAAAAAAAAGGTCTCACAGAAAGAACAGGCATAGTGTAGATACCATTAAAGTGATAGGATAATTTTTTTTATAGTGCGTCTGGAATTTAGCTCTTTTTTCACTGTTAGGTTTTTATTGGGGTTTGTTTTGTACTTTTCTTAAATCATTTACTGAGAAGCTGTTAAAAGGTGCATCGATTATCCGATTGATACCATCGATTCGAGGAGAAGCATCATTACAGGTTGTTTTTTTTTTTGGCCTTATGATCTTTGCATATTAGCCATGACGAACTCTTCTATATATGTTGTCCAAATTGGAGGTTATCGGGAAAAAAAGGGTGGGAATCGAACCCACGACCGCGGCGTGAGAGTCTGTCATGCTAACCACTCGGCTACCGCGGTCCCCCATTTACAGTATTTTATCATCAAGAAAACTTTTTTAAGCTGCCAGAATCCAAAAGAAAGAAAAGAACCAGTTCTAACTTTTGCTTTATGTTTATCTATTGTAAAGACATCCAAAACTTTGGATATAGAACAGTAAATCACGAGGTTTTAACTCTGTTTCACTCCATGTGTTGTCACTTAATAAAATCTTGTTATAAAGTAATTTAAAGTGGAGAACTTGAAATCGCTTGTTTGAAAGTTGCTTTGAAAAAGCGGGAAGGAGGCTACTGACGTTCAAGTGAGCTCTGCCGGTCAGTTACCTTCTGACTTCTGAGGCGGAGGTAACATCTCGTTTCTTGAGGGAAATAAACAAGGTCAAGGGGATGCCGAGAGCGAGTTAATTTCGTCTGGGTAGCTTGTCATTTCGATCACAACGTTATTCCGTGGTTTCTGAGGTCGGCCCGGTGATGCTGAACCTCTCCTGAGAGCTATGAAGCCTCGGGAGGTCGACGTGTCCCCCAAGAAACCGGAAGCATGTTGCAGTTCTGGAAGAAGGGCAGCTCGCCCAAGAAGATCAAGAACGGCTGCCCCCAGACGGCGGACCTCGACTCGGACTTCTCGGTGAGGAGCGGCCCCCTCGCCAAGTTCAAATCAGAGGATTCCATCGGTGAGTCCCAAAGATAGCAACTTTCATCCTGTACTATCTTAAGTACAGAATTGTTTTAAATTATACACTTTTGATTGGTTCATCAATTACTAAATACTGCCAAGTATCTTCGAGGAAATATTAATATAAAAAAATGAAATTACATGTATTCAAACAGGATAAAATTAATGTTCTGGCCTTGCAAAACTCTTACCGAAAAATGCAATAATACTACTGCTAGTTTGAGATAAGAGTGTTGTGTAGAGTGATATTGCTTATAAATAATAAATTGATGATTAATGAGAAATATATATATTTTTTGCAAGCCATTCCAATAATGTGTGGTGATTATTAACCGTTAATCGATAATTATTCAGAAATTGTGAGATGCGGTCTGGTGTGATGTAGGTTTCAGAAAAACATTTTCTTTATCGTGCCAACGTTTCGATCTTTATTGAGATCATCTTCAGGGCCTGGGATTTACAAACATTGTTTA